TCGATTCCCCTAAACTCATTGCAATAATTAGTTATTTTTTAATCGAAACATACTTCGGATTGCTTGCTTGCATCATATATATATATATAGAGTTTCGATTGTGGGATCTCTTAAATAAGCTTATTTGAGGGACACCATTGTAGAGCCCACCATACATTGTATTTTATTAGTCCAAATCGTCTATTTTGTAGATATTCGTTCGAAGATCATCTTTGCAAAAAATTACTTGAATCCAATATCATTTAACCACTTAATTAAATTATTGAAATGTTAGTACTTTCTCGAAACACTGTGTTTATTGATTTTGTAGGACACAATTAGATGTCTAAACGGTTTCTGATTTGTCTAATTTTTTGTAAGGATGATTTTATGAATGAAGATCTAAAAAATAGATGGTTTGGATAATTGAAAAACAAATATCTGGACATTATTATTGTGTGGACACCATGTATTTTCTACTATATCCCTCTCTGCTTTTCTCTTTATTTACAATGACATTCGCAAAAATAACTCTATATATATATATATATATACACTAATACACTATATATTTACACACTCTCTCTCTCACACACACTGTGACACACACAACAAAAGAGTAAGACTAGTTGATTACATTAGTAATTAACTATGCGATGAAGCCTTTGACCAAATATTCTAAAGACTAATACTTTAACTTTGTGTCAATGGATACATTAAATCTATAACGCTTCAATAAGTATATATATTATGCAATTATCCTTGTAAAAGCAAAGACTTGACTGCTAAGTTTAAACTTTTTTGGTATATTTTCTACTGTATCTTTCCGTGCTTTTCGCATGTAGGTATTGCTTGTTTGGATTTGGACTTTGGAGTTAGCTTGCCGTTGCTTTCGTTTCTACTGTCCTATCACTTATGCTTTGGTAATCATCTGGTTTTAATCATTAATCCAGTTCTATCATCTAGATATTTCCTCACAAAATCGTGAGCGTCTGTATTTAGAAGTGGTGATTTACTGCTTTTATATTATGTTATGATCTTTTGTATAGTTTGGATGCATCGAAATCCACCAATTCTAAATGCAGATACTCGAAATCCTTCATCACAATAGCAAAATTATAGATTATATTAATAAGTAATATATAAATAAATTTTTATATTAATAAGTTATATATAAATAAATTTTTCTCACCTAGGTGGTTGGGTCTTTATAAGTGCAATAGTATTTGATATAAAGCTGATCGAGTACTGTGTTAGATATAGGAAAGATATTGCTTCACGCAAACCACAAATTGATCACATTTGCGAAGTGACTCACCTCTTTAACAACTAAATTGAATGCTGCCTTTAATTAATCAGCTATAGCTTGCTAGAAATATCTATCAATTTTTTAAGTGCTTTAAAAGAGATGAATTTTCAACTGTGTTAATGTCTAACCTAATACTAGTAGTTGGTGATGAAACCATTAACAACTAAATTGAATGCTGCCCTAACCAATCAGCCAGAAATATCTATATCAATATAACGCAAACCCTAATTTAAGTGCTTTAAAAGAGATGAAATATTTTCAAATGTGTTAATGTCATTATGGCCCATATGCATATATATCCATGCAAGTTTTCAGAATGGACATTAATCCAAGCTTGAAAATATAGTTGGTTTACTAGGCATGGCTCTTAATTAATTATTTATTTATTTGAGTATATTTTCAATAATTGATCTCTGTCAATCGTACGTCATGCATGAACTCATACTAATTTATGTGTTTGCTCTCTTTTTATATTAGTTTTCCCACATTTAACTAGCTAACATCAATTCTGAGGGATCGATCATATTTAAAAATCTTGTTGGTAATTTAGAGCATACTTAATTGCATATATACGTGCATAGGTGTGGTTCTTCCAAAGACCTTTGTCACCGCAAAGTTTGGTAGAAATTTTAAGAGAAATATAGATATAACTGATTAATTAGTTTTAAGAGTAAAGTATGGGGAATAATTAGGGTGAGGTTGAAGGTTGTTGAGTCCCACATTGGAGATGGAAAACCTAATATAAGGAGCTTAAATATATTGGACATTTTCAACCATTATCAATTGATTTTGGATTGAAAACTCACATTCTAATTAACATGATATCATGTCGACACATGAAAATATGATTATGTCATCTTAAACCCATGTCGGCACGATAGATAGCTAGCCCATTAATTAATTATCTTTTCTAAAATTATATAGAATCTCTAGAGAGGATCGTGTGTACGCTTTTTTTTCCTCTATAAGGGAAGGAATTATAGAGGCCTACAAAAGAAAAGTAGCATGGATACATAGAATTGATAACTGATGATGAGGAGCTTAACATAAGTTTTGTTAATGATTTTGAGAAGAGAAATTTGGAGTGGAAGGATGAATGATGAGTGCACCTGAGCTTTCTTAAATAAAATAAAAATAAAATAGAAAGATCTGTTTGGAAATGGATGCATATGCATGCTTAAATTAGAATGATATTTAAGCCTCAAATTACACATTGAAAGTCTAAAAAAGTCAGTGTGATTTCCAAGTGACTGATTTCCGAGTTTCTGATGAGTGGCCGGACAAAAAATCTACAAAAGTCATCACTAGTTCTGTCTGTGATCATTTCCAGCAAGAACATAATATTCTCTACACGTTTTAACTTTTAATTAGGTTTGAAATGCAATCAAATTCTTGCCAAAACCAAAAAAATAAAATTGATCAATGCGATGGGACCTGATTTTCGAATTAATTAGGTTCAATACCACTTGTTAAAACATGAATTATATGTTAAAGTTGAAATTTGATCTTCGCATTTGGAGGAAATCTTGGGCATAATAATTAGCCAAGAATTGTCAAATTAATCATTTTCAACCATGACTTGTGGAGGAAATCTTTTCCAATAAGAAATACAAGAAAAGATTTCCTCTTATGTTCTCCTCAAAAAGGAAAAAGGAAAAACAGGTCTCATATCTATATTTCAATACACATACACATTTTTTTTTAAAGGACCTTTCCTATGGAGAGGAACGGTAATATACTAAACTCTCACATACACTACACAGATACTAGGACTCAAACCCAGGATCTTGCCTGAGGGAATAAATACTACAAACCACTACACTAGTGGATTCTTTGCAATACATTTACACTCTTAATTGTCCAATTTATGTGAAAGCTCTCTCTCTCTCTCTCTCACTGAGGATTTGAACATATGATATTTAAAGGGTACTGTCCATTTTGTCCACTTACACTCTCTTTTATTTTATTTTAATACTTTTTACTATAACAAACAAGAGAGTGCAAGTGAACAAAAGAAAAGTGAGAACATAAAATTTCCAAGAAGTAAACTTCAACACATTTTCAGGGAGAAGAACGGTGTTGCTGATAGTTTGGCTGCTTGGAGCCACGACAATGGCCTGGGTTGCTGGTTTATTGAGGAAATTATGGATCGGCTTAGGCCTCTGTTGATGGATGACTCACTAGGGGTTACTAAGACCCGTATGATTAATATTGTTTAGTTGTTTGTTGTCTTTCTCTTGGGTTTTTAAACCCCTTTTTTCGAAGAAAAAAAAAGTGAGAATATATAATTTCCAACAAAGGGAGTGTAATTGAACAAAAGAGGAGTGGAAAAATCAATTCCCTAATTAAAATCATAAAAAAAATCCCAGGAATCGAAAGAATAACGTCACCGTATTATCATACAAACATCATCAGCTGAGGTCCAGCGAGGAGAGTTTTGCATAAGATGATGGAGACTAGCAATTCAAGGAGGATATATAAGACATATTTTTATTATTCTCCATCTGAATCCTAAATTTTTGGGTCGTTGAATATAATATTTCTGGGTGACTTGGTCAATGAATATGGGCGCTAGCTCAAGGCTTGTAAGTTAGTGTTCAATTTCTTGCCAGTGTGAGTATATATATATATGTTCATACATCTTCTAGATTGCGTTGACAATTATAATAACACTCGTATGTTGACTGTATACGTAAAGAAAAGCTAAATCCTCATTGCTCCTCCTAATTAAACAGACTTAAAGTGTATTTACAAGCATTGGCGGACCCAAGAACTTTTTAGCGGAGGTGCAATTTTGAAAGGCTAAAAACTCTTTGTAGATTAAACGTCTAAGACTTTTTACCTAAATAGACCTTAGGTCCCTTCATGCATTCATATCATACATGAAATATTGTTTTATGTAAAAATATTCACTAAGTATGAAAAATGGTTTTTCGGAATAATCATATTCTCAAGATAATTTTTGGTGGCTTTTATTCCTTACACATCAAATAAGAAAACTTGATTTTATGGGATTTTAGTATGAAGTATATATTGATTTAATGAGTCATCATTTTTAGCCTAAATCGTATTTTGCACTAAAACTGATTTTTCATATTTTGATTTGGTGGGAATTTGATTTTCTAGTATTTTTCTTTGAATCCAAATGGGGGTAACTTCCTTATTTGCATTGTAAACTTAAGTAAATGAAGTAATATAAAAATAAATGAAAGTAAAAGGACAAAGATATTTACACCTGGAGTGCATCATTACCAGCTGAGGGCAATTTGAAGCACCTACAATGATTTTTCCAGCGAGAGGAGGTGCACCTCCTTGTGCCTTAATATGTCCGTCACTATTTACCAGTTACAAGTGTGTTCAATTATAATCTTCTTGTTTACAAAAATTATATAAGTCTCTAACAAAAGAGAATGTCAGTGTGAACTTTGAAGCATATATAAGATGGCCAAATCCTAGTTCCGTACGACTACCCCCATCTTTTGTCTGCTAAAGCGGCTTAAAGGAGCCAACCACACAAACAAAAGTCTCCGCCTGAGCCATCATAGTTAGGGATAGAGAGCTTAGCACCGCGTTTGATTCGGCTAATGTTCTTTTCATTCTCGTGGCGAGAAAAGTGAACACGTACGTCCATATTGCTTGTATCGCGTTATTTATTAAGATAAGATGTACGCCGACTTAATTGGCACCATTGGAGCACTATATAAATATCGCAATCCCGAGCCACATTTCTTCAAACCATCATTAATTCTCAATATTGTTATAGGATGATGAGGATCCAAGTTATTGAGAGAGATTGCATTAAGCCTTCTTCACCAACCCCACCCCATCTCCGTAAACATGAACTTTCTTTCCTTGACCAAATCTCCACCCCAATTTTCATGCCTATGATCCTTTTCTACACCAACAATAATGTTCGTCGTGGTGACGATGCCAAAATATATTCTGATCGGGTTAAGCAATCCCTGTCGGAGACCTTGACACAATATTATCCGCTAGCCGGACGTGTTATCGACAATGCCTACGTCGATTGCAACGACCAAGGTATCCATTATGTCCAAACCCAAGTGAACTGCTCGCTATCTGACGTGATATCCCAACCCGACCCAAACCAACTCAACAAATTACTCCCGTATGAGCTAGACAATGTCGGTGACTTGGTTCTTGCTGTCCAAGTCAACATATTTGACTGTGGTGGCATGGCGATTGGAATTTGCATTTCTCACAAAATTGCCGATGCCTTGTCACTCATCATGTTCCTAAACAGCTGGGCCTCAATAGCTCGTGGAGATTGTGATAACAAAAACAGTACAATTAGCCCCCCACATTTTGATACGGCCACCTTCTTCCCACCCAGAAGCATGTCTGGGTTCGAACCAAGCACTGGGATCACCAGAGAAAACATTGTGACCAAAAGGTTTGTTTTTAGTGCTTCTATGGTTGCTTCTCTTAGGTCAAAGTACACAGAAAATAATTCCAATGAGAGATACCCGACCCGCATTGAGGCCCTGTCATCTTTTATATGGGCCCGGTTTATAGCTTCCACCCAAGGAGAGCCCAACCCGAAAACAATTTACAAAGTGCTTCACGCCGTCAACTTACGGACCAAGATGGACCCACCACTTCCCGAGTATTATTTTGGAAACGTGAGCCGGTTTGCGATTGCGACGCTGTCGTTTGACGGGAGGGAGAACACGTGTTATGGGCTGGTTGGTCAAATGAGAGATGCCTTGAAGAAGATCGACAGTGATTACATGAGTAAGATGAGAGATGGCGACACACACTTGAACTTTTTGAAGCAGCGAGTAGCAGAGTTTAAGAAAGGTGAAGTGGTGTCGTTTAGCTTTACTAGCTTGTGCAGATTCCCGCTTTATGAAACGGACTTCGGGTGGGGAAAACCCGTGTGGGTCGGGTCCGCTAGCCTCACGTTTAAGAATTTGGTTGTCTTCATGGATACCGAGTCCGGTGGTGGGATTGAAGCATGGGTTAATTTGAAGGAGGAAGACATGGCCAAGTTCCAAGAGGATGAGCAATTGCTGGCATGTACTTACAAGTAGTGGTGGTGGCGATGAAGAATGTGGTCACGGCGTGGTGAAACCAGTGGTACGATAAGCAATAGGCAATATAGACAATGGCTATGTCAAGAAATTACAAAAACAAGGTGATGAGCACTTGCTAAGCTAAGGAAATAAATTTCCCTGTGTGTAACTATATGTTTGTGTTACAAAATTTCCCTATCGATCTAACTAATATGTTTGTGTTATGTGTAACAAAATTATAATTTCAAGTTTTAATCTTTTAGATTTTCTCAATTAAGGCCTACACTTTGAATACTAGTATATACAAAGTTTAAAACATTGGGTTGCACCTTCATGTTCACTTTAGTTGTGATTCACAAATTCTACGGATGTATATTATAATAGGAATCATTTATGATGAAGATTCATTCATCAAAATTGAGATGGACATAGAGGTGCCCCTGGTGTCCACTCGAGCACATCGTTCCAAAGTCTCCTCCTAATATTACACGAGTTTCCAAAACAAACTCCACATGAATGAGAAAAGCTAATGAAACATAAACACAACATGTCCCCCGCTCTCTCCCCTCTTGTGGTTAATTGGGTGGCAAAGTATTTGTTGTTGACAAGGGATGAAAGAAAATGCTTAATTAACAAATTGAAATCATTATAAATCTCGTACTATTCTATTTTCTTTGTAGGCGACGCCACGTATACATTTACTTTTTCAGTCCAATTTAAGAGAAAAATATTATGTTATTAGGGTACGTGCAATTATTATCTCATGTTTTAATCTTTCAAGCTATTAGAAAATTAAACAAATACTTACTTTATCTACCAAAAGAAAAAAAAAAAAACAAAGATATCATTTGTTTGTGGTGTGTTTTCAATTAGCAGAGAAAATTAGAAAGACGGTTGAAGTTGAATTGATCTCCAAGGAGATTTAGGCCCCGTTTGAGATTGCTTTTTTTGGCCAAAAACCCGCTTCATTTTAAAGTTAAGCTGTTTAAGGTGTTTGGTAAAAATAAAATATCATGATTATTTTACAAGCAGTGGCCTTTTGATAGCAGCTTTTAAAAGCAGGCTCTGGGTTGCTTTTCAAAGCTGCTTTCAAAAGAAGCAGAGATGAACCTTTAATGAATTTTTTTAATTCCCAAAATACCATCATTCATTTTTAAAATGACACCACCTCCACTTCCACATCCAACTCCACCACTTGTACCACCACATTCACTACCTCCACAACCACCGCCACCACCACCACCTCATCCTCCACCGCCACCACCATAACCACCACCTCCACCTCCACCTCCACCACCTCAACCACCACCTCCACCTCCACCACCACCACCTCCACAACTACCATCCCCGCCACCACCACTACCACAACCACCAACTCCACCTTCATCACCACCATCACCTCCACTCCATCACCACCACTACCACCACATGATTAGTGCATAACACTTTCAACATCATGTCTATTTTAGTCATTATTCACAGTTACAACAATTTTATATTAAAATTTACCAAACAGTTTTGACACTGCTTTTTGTACTAACAACACTTTTAAAAATATTGTTTACCAAACATAGAGCTGCTTTACTTTACAGCTAATTATTTTCAAAGCATAGCAGAAGCAACTTTTTTTAAAAATGACAACAATCCCAAACTAGGCCTTAACCATCTTTTCCAACCCCTCATCATCTCCGCCACTATACCAATTTTCCTTCCTTGACCAATTAGCTCCCCCAGTCTACAACCCTCTGCTCCTCTTCTATGAACACAACCCAAAATTACCGAAATATCTAGCCACCTTAAGAACTCTTTAGCTGAGGTCTTAACCCTTTCTTGAACACGAAAACTTTGTAGATTGTAGTGACGAGGGCATTCCCTTTCTTGAGGCACAAGTCAAGTGTAAACTTTCTGATTTCCTCAACAATCCAATTCGTGATGAGCTCAACAAGTTCCTCCCATTTGAACTTGATGAGTTTGCCCTAGGTGTCCAACTCAACATATTTCAATGTGGAGGGTTTCCAATTGGCTTTTTTTTATCTTTGAAAAAAATTAATATATATTTTTCAATTTTATTTATTTTTTTTCGTTCTAATTTAGCACTAATTATTAAAACAAATATTAAAAAAGGAAGAGGCGTGCAATTTTATGTGTGTTTTTTTCTTCTTCTAAATTTAGCACTAATTATTAAAACAAATATTTTAAAAGAGGAAGAGGCGTGGGGTTTTGTGTTTTTTATTATTTTATTTAAATGTTAATTGTGTTACCATATTACCTTTCATTATATGAATTTATTGTCTCTTATCACCTTATTTAATCAAGGGCATTTTTAGGGTTATTGAATGTTTCACTTTTAAGGCCTTAAGTCTTTATTGCCTCTATTGAATGTTTCACTTTTAAGGCCTTAAGTCTTTATTGCCTCTTTGAATGCACTTCTGCACATGTAAGAGACTTTTTTTAATTTATTATTCACTTGCTACTTACAAAGTTCTTTTTAATATTTTTTTTTGCAATCTTTTTTAGATGTCCGTATTTTATCGCTCGACTTACAAAGTTTTTATTTTTATTTTTGCACTTGTACTTTGCTAGATTCCCGCCTCAACAATTTATACGCGCGATTAAAAGAACCAGAGCTTTCATCTCCCTCCTCTTCCATAATAAGCTACTTCTTATGGTTTTCCAGGAATGGTAGCAACCATGATAAGCTACTTCTTATGGTTTCCCAGGAAGGCCGTCTGTTCATGTTCGACCTCAATACAGAAACTAAAGAGTATGTTCGGGTTCGCAGCATGGGCGACGACCAAGACTCTGTCTTCCACGAGTATGTTGCGATTTGGGGCAGGAACCCGGATTGTTTGCAAGTTGTTGTGTGTGTGGGTAGCGTAGTTCCCTTAAACAGAAGCAACTAGTGGTAGAGAATTGCAAAGATAAAATTAGTGTGATGATATAAAATGTACCAATAATTATGATGGGATTATTTGGATAGGACAGAGTAATAGAATGAAAGGGAAAAGAAAATACTATGCTGACTTTTCTTTTTTCTTTTGTAAATGAGTGTTTGTAAATGAATTGTTTTTCCTCATGAAACGTGCTAAATTTTATCCATTTAACAAGAACACGAGGGAACTCAAAGGAAAACCAAATAATGATACTATAAGAGCATCTCCAAGGGAAGAGACAAAAAAATAGGCAAACCTCATTTGATCCTTGGAGATGTTCTAAGATGCACCAATAATTAGGATGGAATTCTGTTGAAATTGTATTTGATCATGTATTTTTGTTACTAGCTTCTAGCTATTCTTTAGGACAATAGCTATTCTTTAAATTTCCTAATTAAAATTTGGTCTGTGGAATCCGAGCAAGCTCGTCAAACAAGAAAAGGGCTAGAGTTATAAGGAGACCAATCTTTTTGGAAAGAAATCCAAACGCTGAGAGGTAGATCTCTAACATTTGTAGATCTGGGGCGGAAGAGTCGGTGGGGGGAGTAAATGCTGCTCAACCATCGGGCTCAAGAGGAGTAATGGGGAGTGTTTGTTATCTGAAGTTGTTTCTATGGGGATTGTTTTTAGTCATTTGGTATCAACGCTGGGTCTATTTTTCCCATCAAGACAACAAACACATCCTCTTTTCCTGGAGCCCACCCTTAAACCAAGCTGCTCTTACAAACTTGCTTCCCCAAAATCAAACAGTAACCAGCCCACAAACAAACTCCACAAAGAAATCTTCCTCTTCTGTTTCATGTTTTGAAGGCTTGTGGTCCAAGATGGTTGAAGGTCATACGGATGATTTGGTAATAAGGTTGGAGGAATCGCTGGGAATATCGAATCTAGAGAGTGGGCCAAAACTGGCAGGAGCAATTATCGCAGGAAAAATCCCAAACAGAGGAGCCATTAAAACCATTCTTCAGAATGTGTGGGCTATGTTCAGAGAAACAAAAATTTCTTACATTAAGGATAATCTTTTCACTGTGATGGTCCAAGATGAAAGCATGGCTGAGCATAGTATAAATGAAGGTCCATGGTCTGTTATGGGGTTCTGCTTCAATGTTCAATGTTGGCCAAACAACATGGCCATTGAGGAACTCCCCCTCCACAAGGTGGCTTACTGGATCCAAGCCCACAGGATCCCTTTGAATTTACTCACTGCAGGGAACACTCTAGAGATTGGTGAAAAGCTGAGAGAGGTAAAAGAAGTTGAAGCTCCTTGGGAGAAAGGTTCGAGGGGCTTTCTTCGCATAAGAATAATGATTGATTCCAACAATCCCCTTCCTCAAGGATTCTAGCTGCCTTGTACGAAAGGACAAGATACATGAGTGGAATTCAAATTCGAGCAGCTGTCGGATTTCTATTTCAACTGTGGTAAGCTTAGTCATCTCCAGTGGAATTGCAGATTCAGTGTAAGCCAACCGGGAAACTCCGAACATACAGCCTATGGTGATTGGATGAAAACCAGAGCAATTCGTGATAGTAGGGCTCCAGTCAACCTACATGTTCCGAGAGGAGTTTGAAGGAGAGTGGGTCAAATAGGGGTGGTTAGCCCAGGTGTATTGGTGGCATGTGTAGCCCAATTCGGAGAAGAAAGTAGTAGTATGTCCCATATCACACGAGCACCAGCTCCCACAAATCAAGAAGTCTCGAAAAATGTGCTGACACAACAGGAGGAGCCTCATCTCTGCCAAACCACTGGCACAACGGATCCTTCCTTAGCCAGTTCAAGTCACCAAAGCTGTGTGTCAGAAACAAAAGGTAAAGAAGTTGCTTACCCCTCAAACTTAAATACTGAATTGCAAATTTTCAACTGGAACTCTGAGGGTGTCAGATCAGAAATTATTGCTGGACGAGAACGGGTTATTTTAGTGAAGGAGAACTGTCCAAGCCATTGGCCTTGGCCCACAGGGAGAGTGAGACCCATTCCTTTTGAGGAGCCTCTAAAATGGGCAAAGACTTAGATTGCTTTTGGAAAGCATTGTGTCATAGATTGGGCCGTAACTGGACCATTAAAGAGGAGGCATAATGAGGAGAATATGGGCCTCTCAAATAAGACATCCATTAAGCCAGTTTTTAATAGTCCTTTTGACATTATTCTTGCCTTTGCGTATCATACCCTTCATAAAGACGTTGATGAGGCTTTTGTAAGGATGGGTCTTAAAAGAGATGTTGATCCAGGTTGGCAGAAGAGTAAAAATGAGATTAAAATGGCTAAGCCTCAAAGTGTGAGGCAAGAGACAAAAATAATCAAAGAAGGAAACCACAAATTGTGTAGGAATTTCACAAGTCCAAGAAAGCCAAAGTGTGTGGTGAAATCACGGAGGCTCTCTCACGAGGATTATCTAAGGAGGGCTTAACT